GAAGAATGTTCGCTGTGCCCATACTAGCGAAGATGTTAGCTCTGACAGCTTTATGGTAGGTTGCGACAGCAAATGCCTTTTCTTACCATGTAGCCGGTCGCTCAAATACTTAATTTTGAGATAAATAGTTAAAATGAGATCTATACATAATATTTCGGACTGTTGCACTTGGGGGTCCTAAAATTTTGAATTCTAGCGACCGTCTAGAAATGCGTTTCGTGAAGTCCTCCTTGCCTAGGTCTGTATAGCACACTGTATGTTTAATTACAACACAGTCCCTTGGGGGTTTAGTGTGTTTTCGTAATCAGCAAAACCTGGGAAGAGACGGCCAACAGTGTCGAATCTGTTTTTTGGCTGACCTGCACACTCAACTTTGGAGGTCTATTGCTCACCGCAGGTATGTCGTATAGTATGGACTGTATGACGTACGCTATTGACTGTATGCTGTATAGTACTGGCTTATGTTTCATTTAATGTTTATTTCCACGTGATTGCGTTTTGATATCACTCAATATTATACATGTCATAAGCCTCCAAAGTTGAGTGCGCAGGTTAGCCAATAAGAAACAGACCCCTCTTGCAACAAGCCGAGTCATAAATCATCTGGCGTTTTCAGCTTTTACTTTTAAGGACAGCAATAAAAAAGATCTCAATAACCTACTGCTTCTAGGTCTCGGGTGAAGTCACAGGCTGCAAGCTCATCGACTTCCAGACCTCAAGGTTTGGGGCCACGGCCATGGACCTAGGGTCCCTGTTGGTGGCATGCACCGACAAGGCGACTAGAGACGAGCATTGGGACGACTTGCTGCGAGGCTACCACCGCGAGTTGCAAGACACATTGAGATCCTCGGGCATAATGGACCCGGACAGCATCTATTCTTGGGATCAGTTTATGGTACGCTAATTCACTAGAAAAACTAATGCACTCCAAGAAGAGAACGTGCCTTGATGCACTCCACTCCATGCAAAATGTTATAGGGGCATCACAGGGAGAGTGTATCAAGAAACGTTTTCCCTCGAGAGTGCATAAAGAAACGTGACGCGCTTCAAATGAGTTTTTCCAGTGTTCATTATTATACTGAGTTTCTCCACGGTCGACTTCAAAAGTCATAAAAACTGACGCATAAGTAAGCGCCTGTTTTTGTGACATAATCTGGTGCAAGTTGCAGTTCAGACCTATCCACGAATTGTACATAGATATGCATGCAATTATGGAAACAGTACGGCTGCTTTAAACTCTGCAACTCTTACGCACAACATAAGCAACAGACGGGTTTAGTGTCACTGGTTCAAATTGCATCAGGATTTTCTGACATGCTCCGATTCCTTATCGTATACACGGTTTCTGATGGTTTCCTCTGTTCTTGATAGTTAATTTCTGATCGTTCGCTTACAACCTGGAATTATCCACATTCTTTGATGACCATTTTGCTCTGCTCCTAAACTTTCTGATGGCGTGAAAACCATCAGAATATTTTCTTTTTCCTGATGGTATATTTCTGATCGTACACAACGTTTGGATTATATTTTAAGATCGTCTGGTGGTTCCTTAATAGTACTGTCAGAAAATGACATTTTCCCGAGCATTTTCCTGTTCGCTTTGATCTATACGCTTCACGTTAAAACGGCTTTGTGTGGTATGGGTCCACACACTTCATCAATTGCCCGAGTAAAACAAAATCGCTCCTTTCACGCTGCCTATGTGCTGCTAGGGATGTACCGCCGAGGTGCTACTTAGAATGTCCCCAGAGAGGACAATACCATGCAAGTACATCCTTAGGTGGACCTGTTTATGTGCTGCAACTCCCAGAAATATAGTTTCTTGATTCACGTGCAAGCTGACACAAGATGAAATTCACCATTGAAACAAGGCAATATTGTCTTCGGAATAAGATTTTTCTCTTATTCGAAAGAAAATGTCAGCTTGTTTCAAGAGTGAATTTGATCTTGTGTCAGCGTGCACTTGAAACAAAGAAAAATTTACTTGAAACAAGAAACGATTTTTCTGGGTGTAGTTATGTCCCACCGAGGCGCTACTTAGGATGTCCTCAGACAAGATGTAACATGTGGCAGCTTCCCCAGAATGTCCCGATGATACCGCTCCGAAGGGCATCCTGTAAAGGTTTAGCTCAGTAAGTTCTCGGGTGAATAGAATTTTATATAACTACCAATTTCTGGCGGCTTATTTAAGGAAAAGTGGTAATAAGGTGTATAGTTTTGCTAAACGAGAACAAAAGTTCACACTGAACTGTCACTGTGAAAGTCAGTTTAACCAATTATTCTTTGCGGTTGTCAAAGCAGAAAATTTCTCACACAGTGATTTTATGTCTCTTGCTTCGGGCGTTATTGGACATAAACGTGGACAGTCCTAACCTCAAAGAAAAGCAGGTAGCCGTTTGTCTCAGAAAGATAGCCGCTTGTGCGTAGGAGGGTCGAATGTTTAACTTATCAAAACGACGCCATCAGGGAAAAAGATACCAGGACTGTCCCACTTAGGTATTACAGGTATTACGAGTAATACAAGTAATACAAGTAATAGGAAAAAGATACCAGGACTGTCCCACTTCCTGTCAAGCATTAGACACAGCTCATAGTAACTTTTTTGATGTTTATTTAAATTTAAGGATTCTGAACAGTAAATCTCCTGATGGAATTACGACCAGCGATGATGTCTTCTGATTTGACTAATGTTATGAAAAATCCGAAAACAAGTGAGTGTCCGCCGTGCCCGTAATGGTTCCCCGTCCCTCCCACAGGTCAGAATGCAGGAGGCCGTTCGGTATGGCGTCTGCTGGACGCCTATGGCACTACACGCCTTTCTTGCCGACGCACAGGGCGTACAGGAGCTGCACGACTCGGTCAAGGGGTTGGGTGATACGATTGGAAGCAAGCAACTGACACCAACGCCAACTTTTAAGATCCAGGCCTCCCCTCAGATGGTACAGCGGTTCGGAGATGTAGTCCAGAGCGCCCTCGACTGGGGATGGTTGTAGGCAATGGCATACACACTCAGTTAAACAGCTTTACCAAAGGAGTGCCTCTGAATCCAAATGTCACTTGTCTTAAGCTGTTCGATAAGTCGCAACACAAATAAATTGTCTCTCCGTTTCCGTATGAAACGAAATGGTGTGAATGCCTTGGTTTATTTTAGGCTGAGCGTCAGCGAAGCCTTTGCTGTCTTGAGAGGCAGGGAACTCTTAGATTGTGTTTCTGTCTCTCTGTAATCACACACCTTCTCACACATATGGCAGCTTCAATTAACTACAAACTGCGCACAAAGAATCAGCATAAGCCCGGTCGTAACGAGTTTAGTTTAGATAAAGTTTGATATAAGGTGTTGAAAATAAGCGATCGATCGCTTAAACTTAAAACAGTTTCTTGTATTTCAAGACCCTGTCTTCGATCTTCTGGAGAACGCCAATGGCATCCAAGACCAGGTCTTGAAATACAAGAAACTATTTATACCGTGCTGTCACCTTCCCGCTCGGCGCGCTCGGCAAAGGCGAACTGCCGGGTCCCCAATACCAATACCCGCACGTTTCGGATTATGACCAAAGCAGAGAGATTCCCAAATATCTTATTGGGCAAAAGCGAAGCCCATTACTCCAGTGATAATCAAAAAGTTGACGTGTCAAAAAATCAAAAAGAAAGAGCCCAAAAAAACTTTTGCAAAAATAAAAATTTTAAGAAGATCGTTCGAAGAGGTAACTTGGAACACTCCAACTCGGAACGGATTTCCACACGGAAATGACCCCAAAACATTTTACTGTTTTTTTCTTAGACATTTGATCGAGGGGTGGATAACTCCCCTGCCAAGTGTACACCCCTAATTCTACCCAATTCAAACTCATTCAGTCCAATTCAATTTAATTCAAACAAATTCAAAACTAATTCAACTAATCCAGTCCAATTCAAGACAATGTACATTCAATTCATGGCGATTCATGGCAATTCAAGCCAATTCACGCTAGTTCAGTAACATAAAATCGCAATAATTCAAACCAATTCAAAACCAATTCAACCAATTCAAATTCAATTCAAGCCAATTCAAGCTAATTCAAATTCAATTCTTGAAATTTGTACACCCAATTCAGGAGTTATCTACCCCTCGCATTTGATGGTCTCCGGTGGGGTAACTCGTCATAAGAAGACCTCGAGGCTCCACCTTGGAGAAGGGCCGGCAGAGCGCCTCGTTGTCCTCGTCGCTGACAGTCTTGTCGCCCCGCAAGGTGGGGGCGCGGGCGCCGCCGACCCCAGGTGGGGGCGCGCTTAACTTGTCCCGGTTGACCTCCAGGAAGTGCGCGGCGACCGCCGCCTGCCCTCGGTGTTTCACGCCGTCCACGCCGCGCACCGCGTCGACTCGCTGCTGCCGCGCGCGCTGTCCCATAAGTGCAACGTGTACGACACTCACCTGCTCGTCCTCCATCACGCTGTCCACCTTGGCCCAGTCCAAGACCCCGTGCTTGGCCTCGGCGTGCAGCTCCAGGATCTCGGCCTTGATAAGGGCGGCGTCCTCCTTGCGGCGCGGCGTCGCGGTGCACAGCTGCTGCAGTGAGTGAGTCATGGAGGAAGCTCAGCTTGTTGCGCCTGTCACGACGCATGTCGCGCGTGAAGGCGGCGGCGTAGCTGCAGGGGCCGCGGAAGTGCTTCGCGGCGGGGGGGGGCCGACTTGGGGCGTGTTGTGTGGGTTGCCTACCTACCAGGCGCACACGCCTAAAGGTAATGCGTGGTGCCTCGCTGACCGTGCATTTTGTTGAGGGTTTGAACGCAAACACAGATTTTAATGCAAAACATCACGAGAGGGGCCACCACTTCAATTTAGGATGTACACAGGATTACGTGATTACAGGGATTACACATGAATTTTGAGGGATTACACTTGAATTTTGTTGAATTACAGGCTTTAAAACCATTAAATTTGGACAATAAGGTGAAATTTAGTGATATTAGTGCTAATACACGGAAAAAAATGAATTGGTCGTCACAACTAAATATTAGTTAATTTCGTGACAATCGATCAAAAAATTGTTGAGGTAACTCATAATTTGTTGTCAGGACCAAGATTAAGTTGCCAGAGCCAAGAGTTGGTCGCTAAAACCAAGCACGTTCGCTGCAGGAGCCAATTCGTGGTTTGTTTTTAGAATGAATGCGTTAGCTCAAGCACCGAACAGCTTGTTCTGACAACTTAATCTTGGTTCTGAAAACAAATTATTAGTTACCTCAACAATTTTTTGATCGATTGTCCCGAAATTAACTAATATTTAGTTCTGACGACCAATTCATTTTTTTCCGTGTAATATTAAAATTTGGTTACGTATTTCACGGATTACATGAGGATTTCATAGGGATTACACCCTCATCTATACACAGGATTACGCGAGCGGTGGCCCCCTCAAAAATCATCTTTTTAATATCTTATTAATGACTTAGAGTTGTAGTTCTACTGAATTCATAACAAAATTCAGAACGCAAATTGGAGAACATCTGCGCTTAGGATAGAAAAACGGGGGAGGGCTTCGCCCCCCCTGTCGGATTTTTTTTGGGGGGGGGGCATTTGGCCCCCCCTGCACCCCACGTCCGCGGCCCCTGCGTAACTGCGGACGAGAGGCTTCGCGACGCGCAGCCACCACTGCGTCAGCGTCTCTGCGGCGGCGCGCTGCTGCACCGCGAGCGCCCACTCCCTCGCGAAACCGGGCAGGAAATCGGGGTGCTTGAGCGCCGTCGCGTCGATGGTCCAGCTTGCCTGGGGTCGGTGCGGCGGGGGCGGCGCGCGTGCTCCGCTCAGGGTGCACGTCACGGCGAGATGGTCACTGAGAGGCCACGGCCGTGGTCTCCACGTACTGCAGCAGAGGGGCGAGCGAGCGAAAGCAGTAAAAACGGTCTAACGTTGCCGAGCTGGTGCTGGTGATGAAAGTGTGGCCGGGCTCCGCCCGGAGGGTAGGCCACACATCGAGCAGCTGGAGAGTGCGGGTCAGTCTAGACAGCGCTGGTGAGGCGTTGGGGGCACCGGTGTTATCGCCCAGCTCCAGGGCGCAGTTGAAGTCGCCTCCGAGATTGACGTTCTCTCCTGCGACCGCCAGCAGCGGGGTGATGTCCGTGCTGAAGAACGTCTCTCGCTCCTGCCGCCTCCTTGCTCCTGCCGGTGCATACAAATGAAGGTGATATTTTCTATCTGAACGGCTGTGGCTCTCCCGGACGGGAGCGCGAGCAACATGGTGGTCTCGAGCTCTTCTTTCACAAGTACGGCGGTCCCTCTCTTGCTCTCGCCCGCGTTGACGACCTCCGTGTATGCGCCATTCGCTCGCCCATTTCATCCGGCAGGCGGCAGTAGCAAGCGGTGGCCAGCGGTGACTGGCAAGCGAATAGGGTGTTCCAGGCTATCCAGAACGGAAGTGAAAAAGAACAAACTCACCGATTGATCTGTTTCCGTCTGCTCAGTATGAGAAATTACCATGGTAGTTTGGTCCGATTCTAACCTCTCAAATATGGAGGCAAGCTCGAAACTGACCTGACAGTTTTTCATACTTGAAACGCCGTCGTGGCACGTGATCAGCTCAACCAATCAGAGTCATCACGGAAACAGACAAGTCAGTGAGTTTGTTCTTTTCCTACTTCCGTTTTGGATATCCTGGAATACCCTATTACACCGGCGCGCTGCCCGCCGTCTCCATCGATGCGGTCTGGCCCAGTGGGATGCGTCTCGGTCTGTCGTCCGATGGTCGGTCGTTCCGAGGGGGCCTCAACTCTCCTTTTGGGTGTACACCAGATTGCTAAGATTGTGAGTTTGCCGTGATTGCTTGGATTTTTGTGGATTGCTCAGATTTCCGAGACGTTTTAAAGATTGCTGGAGATTGTACACCAAAATTAAAGATTGCATTGGATTGCCGAAGATTTTTTGGGGATTGCCGTGTTATCACTTTCTAAATTCGTTACGATTTCACCTTTAATGTGTTTCTGAATCACATCATGTCGAAAAATTACACTGTCAGTACGTAGTCGTAGTAAGTAGCTTCAGTTGCTTCAGTCATTCCCCGGTGGCGAGCAGGGTGTGCAAACTTAACATTAACGAAAATTCAGAAGCAAACGGAAATTACTCATTTCTCTTCGGTTAGTTGAAAAATTTCCCTAAAAATTCGAACGATTTTCGAGTTAACGTTAAAAAAGATATCACGGAATAAACTTTAAATAGGGTATTGGTCTAGAGCGCTGAGCGGAAGTAGAACATCAAAAACAGAAGGTGGAAAGGCGCCCGCACTCCTCCCCGCCGGCCGCCTCCTCTTCTCCCTGGGCGCTCCCCCACTCCGCCCAGTGGAGGAGAGGGGGACGGCACGGGCACCTTTCCACCTTCCGTTTTTGTTCTTCTACTTCCACTCAGCACTCTAGACCAATACCCTATTAACTAGCTATATGTACGCCAGACCACGTCTCGCGTAACAGGCTTCGCGATATCTCACGAAACACTGTTACGCTGCGACGCGCCTGGCGCACATATAGCTAAGCCTGCGGCGCTGACACCCGAGACGAGTTAAGGACAGGGTGTAGGGGAACAGGGTCTTCCGGGCCCAAACTTTGACACACTCGAACCATTTGTCGGGGTCTTCTTACTCTAAAATTAGGGACAAGAAACTTTATGCTGTTCGGTAACGGTTTTCATTAAAAAAATCGAACTTTGTCAGATTGTTATGTAAAAATCAACGTTTTAGTGATAGTAGATAATCTAGGGACCCTTAAGCCCAAAAGAGGGTGTGGTTCGACCCGTAACGTGTGGTCTAAGTATTACTCCCTTTACAATTCTGTGACATGAAGCCCTTTTTTTACGATTTAATAGACCATTTTGTCTTTTTCACGTTGTTTTCGCCAAGAAATGAGCCATAGCGTCGAAACGGTACAAGATAGAGCAAAACGGACGAAATTTTCGCCCAGGGGGCTCTACTTTCACGAGTTACCCATTAGGAGACCATCAAAAAATAATTGAAAAAAAATAATATTTTGTTACCTGAGGTTATTGATTTTTTTAAAAGTCAATTTTTGAGCTAGAATGCTCATCTCCGAACTCGATCTGTCTTTTTATGATACAAAACGACCCTGAAAATCCCAGGTCGCTACCTCAATTCTTTCTCGAGTTATCGTGCG